CATCTTATGGGATAAGATGGTTGTTGGGGTCTGTTTATATGCTTGCAGGCTTTCCACAAAGAGTGCTGTCCAAGTTCTGATGGAGAAAGTAATTCAAGTGTACTTTTTATATTCTCATTCCTGCATTTCCTAAGGCACAACCTTAAATCTTTAATTGCTTTATTGAGCAAACTTTTGTCAGAGCAGTGACGCGACTGCTGCCAATTTCTGCGGAGACGCCGTTTTTCCGCTATTTTATTTTGGATTTCCATAGACTGGGTTGATGTAGGGTTCAGTACTAAATTTGTCGAAGGGGTATTTTCCCATGCTGCTACCTGAATAAGGTTTGTAATATATTTGCATGCTGTTTCTATATCTTCTTGTGATTTGAGTGGGATTCGAAGGTTGATGTGACTATCAATATATGAACGAAAACCATCCCAGTCCGTTTTCTCGTTATGGAGGAATATAGGTCTTTCACGTACTGCAACGGTAGAATGCACCGTTAGGATAATTGGAGTGTGGTCCGACGTTCCATCTAGGCTGGGTTCAATGTCAGTGAAAACATGACTTAGACCCTGGACGACAAAGAAGTCCAACAGATCTGGTAATTTATTTGGATTAGTCGGCCAGTAAGTAGGCTTCCCAGTAGATAGCGGATAGTACTTGTAATGATCAATACACTTTTTTAATTGTCTGCCCCTGGTAACAGTGAGTCTAGAGCCCCAGAATGTGTGTTTGGCATTCCAGTCACCACCGGCTATGAATCTATTGCCTAGAGTTTTGAAATATTCTGCGAACATATTGTCAGTGATAATATGCTTAGGTGGACAATAGATCGCTGAAAGAACAATGGGCCCTGTTCGATCTTCAAGTCTGATACTAGTGGCCTGTAAATGGCTACTTGAGTAAGGTTCCAGTAGGCAATGTTTCAGTTTACATTTTATTACTAGAGCTGACCCAGCGTGAGCGCCGCCATCTGGATGAGGAGTGTGGTAGATTTGATATCCTTTCAGATGGAAAGAACTCCTGTTTGTGCAATGCGATTCAGATATCAAAACCACATCCAGTTTGTTGTAGGTAATAAAGGCTTCAAGTTCGTTTATGTTGGGTGATAGACCGTTAATGTTCCAGGCTGCAACCCTAAGCGATGCCATTTTATTTTGCAAGTTTAGGAATGATTGTGGTAAGGAGATTCAGCAACGTGCTGATTTGTTGTAAGAGCAGATCAATCTTCTCAGTTTGTTTGATTAGTATCAGTTCAACTGTACTAGTTTGTTGACTGTGATTGTTATCACTAGAGGAATTTGGTTGTTGGCCTTTAGTATTTTTCGTTACTTCTGCGTATGAGATATTAGCTGATGTCTTTAGTGAGTTATTTATCAATCCTGGAGTGTCTGTGTTTTCTGTAACTGAATTGGTATTGAGGTTAGAACCAATATTTCGTTGCACATTTTGACTCCCTCGCTTAGTTTTTCTAGCTAAAATTTCTTTATACACATGACAGCCTTTATAGTTGGCAGGATGGTCGCTGTCACACAGAGCACACTTTGCGGGGGTATTTCTGTCTGTTTTTGGGCAGTCTGACGTTCTGTGTCCCTTTCCACATTTGACACAACGATATGGCCTCATGCAATTGTTCTTTGAGTGACCGTACTGCTGACATCGTTGGCACTGAACTATTGCTTTTGCTTTACGAGGGTCTTCAATTTTGACTCTCTGATGGAAAATATACTGGATGTCTTTGACACATTTGTTGTTAGCGCTGGGTTCCAGATTTACGAAAAATGTATTAGTAGCTTTTTTGTCAGCACCGAAACGGGCATTTATTATTTCTCCACGGACCTTATTTCCCGTCTTTTCTACTTCTTCCACAATAGCATTATGGGGTGTGGTGTGGTGTAGGTTTTTTATGACAACACGGTATGGTCTGGATTCTTTTCTTGTAAATGTGTGCCCTATTAACCCTTTTTGCCTGATTAGGTCAATTACTTTTTTATAGCAATCTGCTGTATTTACCATCAGACGTAAGAGATTTTTATTAACGATCTTGAATTTGAATTCATTGGGGGGGATTACCAATTCGACTAATTTACTGAGCTCATTTACGTCTTCAATACCGTATAGGATTATGGGTGGCGGTTTATTTGGACGATTACTGCTAGGGAGTGAATCGCTAGAGTCCAGTGGTAGACTAGTAAACTGATTTTCTACTTGTATGGGTACAGGTGATGGTGGAGAGTCCTCGCGTACTTTGCGCTTTTTGTTTGTTGGCACTCGTTGCCATTCAGGTGGCACATTTTCCTGCTCCATCGGTTTTTTAGGCGTTACAAGGACTGTTGTCAGAGATTTGGTAGTATCCACTTGGTCTGACTCTGTGCTTCCGCTAAAGGAAGCGGATCTTGGTCGGTGTTCAAGTATTCCCTTATGAAATACTTGTTGAATATATGTTTTTGTATTTTTGTTTATTTTAATTGGATCACTCATTTGATTCCCACGAGTATGGACGATTGGTTGGTCGCTCACAGGGTGACGCCTGTTCCTGTGAGAAGGCTATATACAATGATGTTCGCCAGGTGCATCAAGGTTGGCGCTAGAGACTGAAGCCCTCAGCCATTCATCCTCTTGGCGCGGTCTCCACCGTAGGATTAGGGTAATTGTTTATTGAGGTTATTCTTCCTCTCAACCCGGGCGATTAAGCCAAGGTTCCCGGTCTCTTTCGAGATAACGGGTTGTGGTGGTCATTTCCTACCATACCAGCAAGCAGCAGAGATTTTAGAGCTGCTGAATCAGGTTCGTTAACCGCCGCCCGATACTCGGCGTTGTTGTTCCTTTTGCACCACCCGGAGAGCACGTGTAGGGTTGTAAAGGTAATTCCTACGGACGCGAACAACGCGACTCTCCTATCTAAATCTATATTTTTAAAACAAAATTAATTTGAAATTACAATTCTCAGCCAAGCAAACATTATTTTGATTTGAAATGGCCAGTACTGCAGGACGGCAATTTCATAGGGCAATTTCAATTCATAACCCTTAGGGCTAATATTAGGTATTATCCCATGAAAATCCATAGTTTTTCATTTTTGTCTGTCATGTCCAAAACCATGGAACTTTGCCATTATTATACCATGGACTACTTTTTTTACAGAAAAGACATCGATGGATAGGCACATGCAAACGGAAGAGAGCGTCTTATTCCCTAACTTAGCGAACGTGGTTGCTGAAGTTAATCGAAAAGAAATAGAAGAAAACGGTATTGTTGTGAACGCGCGGCGACTGGCAGAGCTGCGCGCCGGCCTGCCTGCCTTCCCGCCGGGCGAGCTGCGCGCGGCGCACGCTCCGCCGCCGCTCGCGGTCGCCGTCGCCATCGTCGGCGGGCAGATTCCCTTATAGCGTAAGAATATACGGCGCGTCAGGGGCCATCGCGTGCCAGTGTTAGTGTAAATATTTAAAACAATATTAAAATAAACAACAGAACGTTTAAGTTTTATTTGCATACGTCTCTGTACATACCAGTCTCGTTGTCATGTTACACGGGTTGTTGTGATCAGTGTTTTGTGCCAAATCATTGCCACGACTTTGAATGTTAAAAGTGTATTAAAATACTTTTTATCAATGTCAATAATTTCTTCTCATTATTTATTTTTCACACTCGATTTTTTTAAAATTTGTTTTAAAATAATAATAAACAGAAATAAAAAGCAGTAACGGGAGAAATCCAAGCTACAGTGTCAGAGCTCCAGAAAGAGGAATTTATATAAGTGTATCTTCAGTTTGAAAACTTTATGCTAGTTAAAATTAGTTTTAGGTACTTCATGAAAAATATTATGTAAATAGTGTAACCTACATACTAGGTTACATAAATGAAATCGAACCAATGTGTGATACTAGATAAAATAAATTATTATGAAACAGTGACTGACGACTTTCATTTAGAAAGCCAATAAAATTACAGGATGCTTTTCAACGTGACACGTAAACTTGCACGTGTCAAGTGTCAAAATGACATTTGACAAATAGAAAACATAGGACATACACATACACACTCAAAGGTACATGACCTCGATGCCACAATTCAACATTACACAAATGGACATTGTGAGGGACGTCTCTGTTGAGTAAATCATTGATCATGATTAGAAACTGCGTAGGTCCCAATGTACTACCTTGGCTTAAGTAGTATTCTTGTGACCGAAAATCATCTATTTTCACGTACTGTTTCCGGTCCCTAAAATAAATAAATAAAATAATCTGCCTCATGGCATGGCATCTCAGAAGTTCCGACGTGAAGCCTACAGACGCAAACTTTGTTAGAAGGATCGGATAACCCTAGGTATCGTAAGGGTTAAGCTAGGGGTTGATTTGAATAAAAGTACTTGATAGTGGTTACACTTGTATTCCGAATGATTGTACAATGAAAAAAAATATGATACAATAGCACGTGAGAAATTAATACCACCATGAAATAAATTCTTTAGACACTTATACTATTGGCGGAGAATCTTAACACCGCGATTCAGAAAACGATCTCAAATAAAACTGTACAGTACCGCGCGAGCGCATTAGTCGTATGCACGCATTTACGCTTGATCAACGAAGTGTCAGAGTTTCTCAACCTTTGGTCACATTAACTTTGTGAGGTAGTCATACCAAGAAACAGTCACAGTCATAATGATGAAGTGTTCCCATTGCAATATGGACTTCAATGATGGCGTACATTGCTCATCTTGCAAAAGGAGCTTGGACTTTGGCTGCGCTAATATCACTGAAGCCGGATGGAGGAAATTGGGTGTTGAGAGAAGAGCGGGTTGGAAATGCCCAACATGCCGCACATCCTCACCCTTGCCATCACCGCAACCTTCTCCCTTACCTACACCGGAACCTGCGTCGTTCGATATAATCCTTAAGGAGATCCGTGAGGTAAAGGCACAAATGGCTGGTCTATTGATGCTACCGGATGATGTCAAGACTATGAGGGATGAACTTAGGGACATCAAAGCCAGACACCGACTGCACTGGACCAGCGGAGACTGGTCGAATACCTTGACGTGCTGCAGGTCGACGTAGATTCTGCCAGCCGAGGTCAGCCTCTCCCACATCCGAGGTGAGACCTGGAGGACGACGTGGTTCTCGAAAGAGTTCCGCGCCTTCCTCCGGTACTTGATGGTCACCGCTGACTCCTCGGCTGATAGACCCTCCAACAAGCGCGCGTTTTGCGTCTTAAGAGCGGCCTTTATATCCTCGTCGCTGTTGTAGGCCAGAAGGTCCCGGACAATTACGAGCGGATTCCGCTGACGCGCGTTTTCCACCCGCAACTGCCCGTCGGTCCTGAGCTGCGTCGTCATTCTCTCCAACTCCTCCTTGCTGGCGCACCTCAGCACCACCATCTGGTCCTTGACTTTTCGGACTTTGTCAAGCTGAAGGCCGCTCACCTTCGCGTTCAACGCCTGCCGGACTCGACCCACAACATCGGCGCTGGTCTCCATGGTGTCGCC